TCCTTGCATTGGGGTGCTGCAGGAAAGTGGATATCTCTCTCCAAAGGAAGCTATTTATTTTTCTATAAATAGCAACTCCCAATTCGGGGTGTTTAATATGCCTCATTTCATTTAACTCTCACAATGCCCCTGTGAAATTGTGCACTGGCTACTTTTAATTGGCCCTTTTAGATCCACTCTCCCCAGATTCCCCTGCCCTCTACCCTGGAAGGCTGACCTGACTGGACTATTATCAATGGGATCTCTCATGCCCTCTGTCTTTTAGGAGGTTCCACACAATGGGGAGACCAGGCTGAAGGGAGGAGAATGAGGTCAAGGTAGATATTACTTGGAGCAGAGGGGAATCCCCTACAGGGTCACCTGTGACTGGCTGCATGGAGAAGGCCCTTGCTTCTCCCAGGGCAGCTGTCTCACAACTCCTCAGTCTGGTAAGAGTATTCTCTCCCCTCAGCCCTATGGCCCCATTGTTACTAGCCCTGGGGAACTGCATTTGCCCTTGATTCCTCACTGTCTACTCACACCCTTGTAAATATTCCCTTAACCCTTCCTTACCTATCCTACTTTTAGTATGCCTACTGGGACCCTGAGTCATAAACAGAGGGACTCTTGTTACCATGTGAAATGAGGAAGCCAAGCTCAAACCCAGACTGTTCATCTCCACAGCCCGAGCTCTTAACTACACTGCTCTCCTCCCTCCAAGATTCACAGAGAGTCATGGGGCCCTGTTCTCACATTTCCGTCTGGACTCCAGATGTGCTCACTCTCTTTGTGTAAGCCTCTTTCAGAAAGAGTCACCCTTTGTTCCCTTTGTCGACACCACCATTGGTCCTAGGGTGCGGTGAGTGCTGCACAAGGCAACCTGGTTCCCATGGCCATCAGTCCAGGAATGGTTTGAACAGTCTTTGAACATTTTGGTAATAATGCTGACTCATGTTCATCTGAGTCATATCAGCATTTTAAGCTCAGTTTGCCTCTGCCTCAGTTCCCTGTTACTGCATCTGAGGGGTGGACAGGGTCATCTGCTGAGGCGAAATGGAATGTTCCCAGGCTGCCTATTTGAGAGCAAGCAGAGACTTAAGGGTGGGTCTTAAGGGAGACTGAAGGCCCTTAACCCTAGGAAACTGGCTTTTCCCAATTTGGCCAAAACGATTTGATGTAAAACTCCAAAGTTAAAGACAACAGCAGAGTATTTTTGGTAAATTGGTAAATTTGGTAGGCTTTGGTGAGTCCATACAGCAACTTGATCCTTCAAAAAATTTGGTGACTTGGTCATTCAGTGACTTGGCTTTCAGCAAATTGCCTCTTGAAGAATTGACTGTAAGCCAAATGTATGATTTCCAACACCAAGCAAATGAAGTGGGGGCTTTATCCATGGAAGCACCTCCTTAAACCTTTCCCCTGGGGAGCCCCGTGAGCCAACAGGAGAAGGGAAGTGGGGAGCAGGGCTCAGGAAGAAGTTCAGATCTTGTCCTCAGACTTTCGTGAGCACAATCATTCTTAAATGTCCCTCCTACCGGCCTCTCCTATTTCTTTTTCTCCCCTTCCCTTCCTAAGGAGGTGGGAAGAATGGGTATGAAAGGTCAGGGGTGTGGTCAAGTTTTGGGTCTGGGTGATGAATGGGGAGAACCACTGCAGGTCCTTTTTCTGGAACCGTCCCACCCTTCGCAACTTCCAATACCTGAGTGACCAGATCCTTGTCTGGAACAGTAGTAGCCAGGGAAGCCTCAGAAGGAGTCTCTTAGCAGCTTTTCCCCAGGATTCCCAGCCGGAATGTTTACAAATGCTGCCAGGGTAACACCAGTTTCAACGAATGAGAAGCAAAGCTCAAGTGTTTCTGACTGCTTCTGTTAGTGGAGAGGGTTAGTCAGTCACAGCGATAATCTGACTTCCAAAGCAGAATCAAGCTGTAGTGTCCATATTCAGCTCCTCTCCAGCAGGAGATGAGCTTGCGGGGCTGTGCCAGGGGGAATAGCAACAATGGGCCTCGCAGCTGGTGTGTATTGGGGTCCTCATTATGTGCCATCACTGTGTGAAGGGCTCGGTATGTGTTAAATCATTTACTTCTCACAGCAGCCATGAGATGGCTATTAGTATTTTCATTACAGTTGAATGAACTGAGGCACAGAGAGTGTTGAAGAAGTTGCCTAAAACTCAAACCCAGAGCTGTCTGACTTCACTGTCTGAGCTTTTACATATTTATTCCCAAATTGAGAGGTTAGGACCACCCTTGCTTGATTATTTTCAAAGATATCTTTTTTTCATTAATTTATTGAGATAAAAATCATGTAACATAAAATTAACTATCTTAAAGTGAACAATACAGGAGCACTTAGTACATTCACAATGTTTTTTCTCTCATATTTTAACATCTATGAAATTGGAATTCATTTTATAATCAATGATATATTAAGGTTTGATGGATAATGTTTTTAAAAATTCTTCATAGTGGAATATAAAATAAAGTACACCTTTCAGTTGATGGCATGTTAGATTAGTTGAAATATGATACCTGGTGATCTTCTTGGATTTTTGAGGAAACATACATCTCTGGTGCACCCCACTCATTTACCAAGTGTTTTCAAAGATGTCTTCTATGAATCAAGGATGAGCTGATAGTATAATGGTTATCAGCATAGACCCAGAAACAATTTACTTAACATTTCTAAGTTTCCTTGTCTATAAAATAGGGATAATAGTATCTATAGAATAGTTTTTTTTATGAGGATCAAATCAAATAATTCATGTAAAGACTGAGAACAGTGCCTGGTACATCATAAGCTCTCTCTATAATGGTTAGATATTATTTATAGTACTGTAGTACTATAAACTGTTCTTTTAAATGGTGAAATCAAAAGTTGTTGGCCCTATGTTATGACCCAATTTTCTTTTATTAATTTATTAATCCATGAAATCTCCAAGGCTGGGAGCCCTTGCCCTTAGCTCTTAACCACTGTGTTCTGTATATGGAGTGGTTGGCTTCTCGCCCTATGACAACTAGTCTCAAGCCCAACAAAGAAAGGAAAATGCTGTGCTAAGTGTCCTCTCTATCCAAGAAGAAATGCTGAGCTCACTGCCTGGAAGACACCACATACACCGAGGTCCCACACACAGGGAGCCTGTTGCTGAGATGGTGTAGTGAGGCAGCAGAATGGGATTGGAAGGAGAGAAGGGTAGAAGGTAGTATGGCTTAGTCAGAGGAACTCAATCTCTGATTTCAGAGGGTTTTGTAGGGGTCCAGAACAAGTATCCCCCTGGCATGCAGATTACTTTGAGCTGAAAGTAAAGCCCAACAAACTGAAGAAGAGTTTTTTCTAACCTCCTTCTTACCTACCTAAGGGAATTCGGATAGAAAAACCTGCTTCAAGAAGGGAACCTTAGCATATTCACCTTAGTGTAATATAAATTAAGTGTGGCAGATGGGGAGGATCCAGGCATTGTCTGTTAGACTCCCCTCAGTGTCCCATTGTATCTGGGTACCACAGCATTTGTTATGACATTTGCTCTTTCTCATCTACCTGTGAATTGCCTACTTTCCCATTAGAGTCCCAGGGCCCTGCTTCTGTCTCCTTAGTCCAGAATGGCATATATATACCTCATTTTGACTCACTGTCTTTGAAATTTTCATGCTTATGTGAACTCTACATTCGCACATACTAAAACTTGATTTTCTCCTTGTTAATCTGTTGTATGTCATTTGGATTATTTGACCAGTCAAAAGAGCTAAAGAGAGGAGGGGAAAGTTTCCCTGGCCCCAACAGTTTCAGATCCCAGCTCTACCATGAACTGGCTTTGTTTCACCTCTCTGAGCTTCTTCATGTGTACGATGGGGATCTTAATAGGAATCACTTTATACGGTTGATAAGATGAAATGAGGCAATTCATATAGAGCACTCAAAACAAGGACACACTCTAAGTGCTCAATAAACATTAGTTATTATAATCATGATGATAAGAGACTCACCACAATAGACAGAATAAAAAAGTATACATCAGAAAGAGCCCACCACTTCCCCAAAAGCTGGGAGAATTTGCCTGGGACAACAAGAGCAGGTGTTTCTTGAGCTCTCACTGTTTAGGTCTAATGCCCAGCAACCAAACCAGGAGGACTTGCCGTGGACACTGTCATTGGTGAGGACGTAGGCTCCAGATATATGAATGCTATTGATAACTGGCCTGAGTTCTGTTTGCTGGTCACACCAACTGCTGGGAACCTTCTAGTGCCACAGCAGGCCCTATCGGAAGCCCTGCCCTTCCCCTGGGCTCCCTGGAGCAGAGGGGGTTAACTGGAAACATGAGGACCCACAGTAGGTGTATTCCAAAAGCTTCCTTTGTGTCAAGCTTTTGTGGTCAAGGGCAGTAAGATCTCTCCTAAGAAGCCCTGAGGCCACTGGTGAGAGGCCCAGGGTGAGGCCCAGGCCTTGGGAGGGCTTGCAGTGGGAATCTTAATTGCCCAGGGGAGAGAGTGATGCAGGCAAGTGATGAGAAACTCCTTGTGGGCAAAATGCTTTCATGGGGGGAGCCAAGAGAGATTTCCCAGCCGATTAGAAAGGCTCTTCTTTGAAGATGGAGCTTAACTCCCTAGGGCTAGAACTTTACCTCCTACCCCCCAGCCGAGGCCCTCACTGAAGCGACAAATTCTGGCCTCAGGGGCACTCCAGATTAAGAGAGCTTTTGAACTCCCGGACAGCACTGAGGACAGGTCCTTCCAAACGTCTCCCTGTTCTTCCCAGTGCAGATAAGAGTGGAGGAGCGACTTGGAAGACCTGAGATGGAGGGGAGAAGAGCTAGGAGTAGGTGGGGCTTGGAAGGAGGAGCTGGCCAGAGGCTCGCCCAGCCCCTTTTCTCAGGAAGGAAATAGACGTGGCTAGGAATCCCCAAGCCGTAGTCCCCATTCTGATGCCCCCACTCCGCCCAGAGCTTCTGCTAGCATCGGGGTGCTCTGCCTCCTTGCAGCCCCAAGCCCTCGCTCCTGGCCCGGTCAGTGGGCCAGCGATGTGCGTGGTACCTGTGCACAAAGACAAGCCAGCACCGAATGTCACGGGCCTTCCAGACCATACTTATGGAGTCTCCTTTGAAAGAGCAGGTCGTTCTCCCCTGATTGTGCCATGGTGGCTCGTCCCAAGAGAGAGAGGGGCGGGCAGCCCTGACGGCCCGCCATGCCCACCTGGGCCTCAGGCTGCCTTGCAAGACGGACTGCCCGAAGAGGTAAAGGGCAGGGCTTCACTTGCCCCGCCCAATTTGTACCATGGATATGGTGCTCACTAGAGAGAATTGTTTTGGATACCTTTACCAGTTTCCACGCTGTTAACTTCTTCCTGAATTGAAGAGAGTTTGGGGAGGGGCCCCCAGGCAAGGTTGGTTGAAGTCAGACCACAAGAAGAGGGGCCCTCTCTTCAGGACTCCATACCCTAGTCCTTGAATCACATTCTTTCCCGCCTGTGTCCCTTCAGTCATGTTCATTCCCTCGCAGTTTCTGTCCTCTCCACGTTACACTCTCGTGCTCACCCAGTCACCCCCTTCTCTTATTTATCTTATTCTTTTTCCCTTTCCCTAGCAAGGCTGTCAGCTCCCTGGAATGAAACTCTGGCTAAATGTTGACATTCTCTTGTCCAGTGAACCCAGTCAGTTGGCACATATCTTTTTAGAGGTGGCAGGCACTATGAGGAAGTGAAGCTAAAAAAGTCAAGGTTCCCACCCTCAATGTACCTAATATATAGTTGGGAAGATAAGGTGTGCTTACACGAAAAGACAACTAGCAAGTCAAATGTAGCAAGGCATCTTGGATTTGGGCAGGTTCTAAGAAAGTGTGGCTGACTGAACTTGCTTCAAGTCTAAAGGGCTACCAGACTGTACCAGGAAAGGGAAAGAAGGTGGTAAGAGCCCAGGGCCTTTCCTAAACTGAGGCCCATCCTCCAACAGTAAAGGCCACAGACCCTAAGTACAATGCTGGTCAGTCTTAAATGGGCAGACCCCGAGAGCCATGATGTCACAAAGACCTCTCAGAACATTCTAGCCATCCTTGAGCATGCAGGTCTGCCCCAGGATAGGTAAATGCCTGATTGAACAGTGCCTTGCTCAGAATAAAAGTACAATGGCAGAGCTGTTTCCGGATGCTTGGACCTTTGATGGCGATGCCTTGATGTTCTGATCCATGGTCATAACTACATTGGGCCACTCTTACAGGCACTGGATAAAAACTTCAGGTTGACTTCAGATCTGACCCACCCCACTCCAAAGGAGTGAGCTTCTGGGGGCTGCACTGTTTTCTGGCTGTAGAAACAAAGGGTATTAGGCCTAAAAGGAAAACTCTGAATGAAACATACACTCCCCAGTGTGGTAGGTGGCACACAAGTGGACAGGTGAGGTACACTAAAGAAAATCTTAAACACATGGGAAAGATTTTTGTTTTCTTGGGGCAGTAATTCTCAGTGCTTCCATTGTCTTTCCTACCTTTTTTCTACTGCCTTTGGAATTACAGTTTTGGGGGATCATAATTGAAATTGCATAGTTGCTTGTAATTTTTATTACCTGACCACTCTCTAGCCTATATATAATAATTGGTTTTCTCATGTTTTCTGGAACTGAGAAGATACCTCCCAAGAAAGAAAAAAAAAACAGATAAAAAATAACGTGTTCAAACTAATAAAGCAGCAGTTA